CAATGTTAAACATAACATCAAGGTTTATCATACCTCAGACCGAAGTTCCTCGCCATCCGATGGTGATGGTGACGAGTGGTCAGAAGGTGGAAGTGAGGGCACAAGGCCGTCGTCCATTGGTTCCGGTAGCAGTCCGCAACGGGGTCGAGGGCGTAGCCCAAACCCGAAGCGCATGCCTTCCGATCATCACGAAAACATCATCATCCAGGATTCTCGCAACCTCAGAAAAGATGCCGAAGATATGCCTGATGACCGTTCTTCTCGACATTCTGATCGGCAGCATGTGCGGTTTAATTCCCCTGGCCGTCGCTACCGTGACGAAAGTTGCTCGCCTAGACGCGAACATCATTCTCCTCGAGAACAGCCATGGAAAGGAGGGCCACCACGAATTATCCAGGCACCAACATCTGGCGTCCGTCATGTGCGTGGCACTGCACCTCGATGGGATGAGTCTTATGATATCAGACCCAGTCGTACCGACAAGCCCCTTGAGCGAGCAAGATTAGATGACGGGCATCGTGAGCGCGACGTTCGAAGAGACAATGATTGCTTCAAATATCTTGAAGAGGATCTTCGATGGCGCCGTGAATTCAAGGAGAGGCGAGAAGATCGAAGGCCCGATGATTACAAGTACACGGACCCTGAACCTCGCTGGAGTGATCGACGGGCTCGAGAGTATATGAGCCACAGGGAGCCACGTTATTCAAGTCAGCACCATGAAGATCGTGAGGCTTATAGGAGATACAGTGACCGACGAGACTGGTAGCATGAGTCGGCAGTCTTCTTTGTTGAAATTATTGTGCTTTTCATATTGTTTGAATAGGACCATTTCTTTTTGCTAGCATACCGACTGGATGATTTCAACGCCAAGGTTTGGGAATGGCGTTTTTATCGTTTCATGAGTGATGAAGGAGTTGATAATTCGAAATCGCACTTATCTTGGAGCAAAAATGAATCAATGAAAAACATTTTCAATGCTAATAATCTCATACTGTACAAATGATTCATGCCTTGGTGTTGACATGAAACTTGAATTAAATGTATGAACGGCAATTAAAGGAATCAAGGCCACGTGACACCGGTAGTGGTTGAGTGAGGGGTGTCGCGCCTGGAACGCGTCGAGGCAGGTATTCATTTGAAGACTTCATTCGTCGTACCTGACCGACCAGAATTCGGGGCCAAGACGCGTCCCTATCCTGCAGTAAATCACAACCTGCTCCTACCTAATATGACAGGACCGTTGGGTACTTCATCGATAACCTCGTTTTCGTCCAATTGAGCCTTGCATCTTCCTACCTCATCTTTTCATTCTCCCCTCCTTCCTTCCTCGTTTTCCTACCTAACCTTTAGCTAAGGTATCGCCAACTCGCGATATTTTATGAAGGTTGGTATCAACCACCTTCCTTTTCGTTCCTCGCCGGCACGGGCATTCCTTCTTCGACAAGCTGTGCAACAACAGCAACGAGTTCAGGTGCACTCAGCTGGTCCGATATATTCACCAAACCTCGACGCAATGTTGCACCGTGCAAACAGCCAATACGAGGCCAATGGCCCTCCTCCCCAAAGGAGTCAGCCTAGAAGCCAACCGTTCCTTCCCTCCAGTAGCCCAAGTACTACTCACAATGCCGATATTCGACAACAACTAAAGAAGCCAAACGCCCCTGCTGTGTCGGCGAGGACCATGCCAACATTCTCCAGACCTCTTCAAAATCGATCTTCTAACATGAACCAACTCTCAAACAATTCTCGACCGCCAAACGATGTTAGTGGTGGATCACTAGCTTCTCTCTGTGGAGGATCAAACTCATTTAGTGGGCAAGCAGATGTTGTTGATCTCACTGGAACCGAAGCTCACGCAAAGGCTCAAGCGGCGGTCTTCTTTACAGAAGACGACTTTTGTGACGACGATGACCTAGATCTGGATTTCCAGGCCCCTTCAGCACTACCGCCACTTCCTTCTAATACTCCATCCAAACGTGTCACTAAGGAGAGCATACCGCCCCCACCACCAACCTCGACACGGACAGATAAGGCCATACCTTGGTCTTCATCACCACCGTCACATTTCCTACCACCTTCACGCACTACATCTGTCACTTCAACGATGGCCAACATCTCAATGAAGCGTGATTCTTCTGGTGACCGAGATGAACTTGATGTTCCGGTCCCTAAAAAAGCCAAGAAACGTGTACTGCCCCAGAGTTTCAAGCAGGAAGAGCCTGAAGATGAGGATGATTATCACCCCCAGGTCGCTCAAACACCAAATAACAAGCGGAAGGATTTCCTCAACCCCACGGCTAGCGCTGTCAAAGAACAGAAGAAACAGTTCAGAACTCAGCGTCAGCAAGAGCAGCCAACGACCAGCACCGATCTCTCCATAGATGAGATCCAAGAAGTCACCACTTCGCATTCCAAGGGCAATTTTGCCATCTCACTCAGTGAAGAGCAGAGACACGTCTTGGATTTGGTAGTGAACAAGAACCAAAGTGTCTTCTTCACTGGTGCCGCCGGAACCGGCAAATCTGTCCTCATGCGAGCCATCATCACGGAATTAAAGAAGAAGTATGCCAAAGACCCAGAACGAGTTGCGGTTACTGCCTCCACTGGACTTGCTGCATGCAATATCGGAGGCATTACGCTTCACAGCTTCTCTGGTATTGGACTTGGCAAGGAGGATGCCCCAACACTCGTTAAGAAGATTCGAAGGAATCCCAAGGCAAAAAACCGCTGGCTGAGAACGAAATGTCTTGTCATTGATGAGATTTCCATGGTAGACGGAGACTTGTTCGACAAATTGTCTCAGATCGGAAGAACGATTCGAAATAATGGGAGACCATGGGGTGGCATCCAACTCATTATCACAGGTGACTTTTTTCAGCTTCCACCAGTCCCAGAACAAGGTGCAAAACGGGAGACCAAGTTTGCCTTTGATGCTTCAACCTGGACTACTTCCATAGACCATACCATTGGACTTACACAGGTCTTCCGACAGCGAGATCCAGTATTCGCCAACATGCTCAATGAGATGCGCCTCGGTCGAATAACGGAGGATACTGTTCGGGCCTTCAAAATGCTTGAGCGACCACTCAATTTCAATGATGGACTGGGAACCGCAGAGTTGTTTTCTACCCGGAATGAAGTCGAGATGTCAAACGAAAGAAGACTGAGAGATCTTCCTGGTACGATCAGGCGGTATGAGGCTCAAGATACTGGCAAAGAAGATATTCGGGACAAACTATTGATGAACATGATGGCACCCAAGAGTATCGATCTGAAGATCAACGCTCAAGTAATGCTCATCAAGAACCTTGATGAATCACTCGTGAACGGATCTTTAGGCAAGGTGATTGGATTCTCGGACGAGAAGACGTTCGACATGGAGCCACTTGATGAATTCGATGAGGAAGAGAGAATGGCCAAAGCCCGAAAGAAACTACTCAATACATTCAAGCGCGAATCCGACACAAGTTCCGGCAGTACCAAATTCCCAGTGGTACAGTTCATGGCAACAGATGGCACATCACGCGTGATCCTCTGCCAGCCTGAAGAATGGAAGGTTGAATTGCCTAATGGCGAGCTCCAGGCCAAGCGAACTCAGCTGCCTCTAATCCTGGCATGGGCGTTGTCCATACACAAGGCCCAAGGTCAAACTCTTGAACGTGTCAAAGTCAATCTTGGACGCGTATTTGAAAAAGGCCAGGCTTACGTTGCTCTCAGTCGAGCGACTACACAGGATGGTCTACAGGTCCTGGGCTTTCAAAAGTCCAAGGTCATGGCACATCCTCGAGTCATAGACTTTTACAACAAACTCTACAGTGCTGAGGAGGCACTCGGAAAACCAAAGGCTCAATCTATCACTAGTTTTGTTTCGAATCGCATTGGAGCGGCACCCTCGAAAGCACCAGCGCCTAAGAAGTCAGCCCACCAGGTGATAGATTTAGACGATGAGGAAGAGGCGATGGCTTCTATGGGATACTGAGTCTCCGAGCTGACGGGATCACATTTACATGCTAGAAAGCTTACAATCTATCGATACCATTGTATGATACAGAAGAGTCAGCCGAAAGGTGTAGTTTCGATAGGTGCGGATGACCATGGGAAAGGCGTTAAGGTGTCTGAGAAGGGCAATTTGGTCGGGATAGACAAACCAAAGGCCCAGTAGATATTTAGACTCGGACGCACCGAGTTATGATAATACAAATGATGAACTACTCTGTTAATTATGACCTCTGTTGTGACTATTAGGCCTGTGTATGATAATAGTGCCGAAACGTTTGCCCAATTGACTTTTTGGGTATTGGGTAGAGGCCAAACAAGTCTCGTTGTGAGTCTGGGCATAATAACCAATCTGATTGATCAGTCGTCCAATCAAGCGATGCAAGGCATGGTTGCAAACATAAGCACGAGCGAGGCTAAGGTAAGGTAAGTTGTGACGCACACCGAGGAACCCTCATCTTATCGATAACAAGATTGGCAACTTTGTTCCCACGCGAACTTCCCTAGCTTGACCATGTTGAAATGGAAGTTCTCCCACCAAGAACAAGCCCGCATCACACAGCATTAAATCGCAATACAAAACCGCCGAAAACCCTGCAGTAATACTTCATCGCATACGGAATAGAAATCGGAGAGTTCGAGCTTTGCAGCTACCACTTTTCGATTCTCGCACCATTTCATCGCCAGGCCCCAAGTCTCGATCTCCCCTCGTTTTGCCCCATCCCGCCGCTTCGAAACTCGCCCGTAATCAGTCACTCAGTCGACGAGCCCAACCACCCGGCCCTCGCGCCTCTGCCTCGAAACAAAAGCAGTTATTGTTAACTTAACAAAGTAACACATAAATTTCGGTGTCTCAACTCTGCGCGCCTGGGGATTGGCCTTCTAAAACTTGTCTGAGGACGTTAATGACAACTTGACTTTGCCGATCTGCCCTATTCAACAATTTGGTGCCGAGGAATACAGCCCTTTTCCAAACACCTATACATCGGAAAACTTTATCAACCATGGCAACACAGTTCATCGGCTTGCATATGCGGGTGGTGTTGAGGGACCCTCCTGGGAGCGAACTGACAGGGACAGTTGGCAATGTCCAGGCAGGGAGCGGCTTAACATTGACTAACGGTACACACAAAACTCTAACCCTACACTTCCAGAGAAGATGCTAATTCTTGAGTTGCAGTGTTCATCTCAGATACCAAACAATGGCTTCCTCACTTGCAAGTCCACGCCGCCAACATCGCCGATCTTGCTGAAGTCAAGAACAACACACCAGCGACATATGCGCCTGCTCCAGCCGAACCCATCGCTGCACCTTTCATTTCGCAACCACCGCCACAACCTGCCTTTGTAGACCCTGCGATCCTCAGTCTGGGAAGACCGCCAGCAGCATTAACGCCGTCAGGCTCCGACTCAAGGGCCCCATTGGAGGATGGAAGAGCTGAATTACAAGTTGCTCCTATGAGTGCCGCTGTCTCAACACCGGGCCGGCCCACCCCTGATCACGATCTGACTGGTTCTGTCAGTAATTTGGCCATCAACGAAGCGGTCCTAGAAATGGACAATGGCCAGCCAGTTGAAGGACAGGCACCCCGATCTGCCAAGAAGAAAAACAACAACAACCGACGCTCTCGCCAGTCAAAGCAAGGAAAGGGCCAGCGTGCTGAGGAAGATGGTCAACCTATTGAGGGCTCGCCCGCTAGTGGCCGAGGCAAGGGGTGGAGGCAAACACCAATCCTGCAGAGTACATCGTCTTTTCAACCTTTCCAGTATTTGAAAAAGAGCTCCAAGGGGCGCAAAGGTCTTCTTGACAACGGTTGGGCATCCGAAGATGTCACAGAAGAGATGGGCGAGTTCGATTTTGAAAACAACCTTGCAAAGTTTGATAAACGTACCATCTTTGATCAGATGAGGAAGGAGGATCAAACCGACGATGCCAGCCGATTAGTGTCTCACAATCGAAAACCAAAACCTGGCACAGCTGGCGGAAAGAACCTGCATTACACGGAAAATGTACTGGACCTGCCTTCTTCAACCAAAAAAGATGCAGATTTCTGGAATAGTGAGGCAGATGATGGACTGAACGAGGCTGAGAGGCTTTCTGGACGGGAGGTTCGGAGTGGTCAAGGTAACAGGAGAGCTGATAGCAAATCGGGGCCGTCACGACGATCACAGTCACGCAAGGCAAGTGCTGTTGCGATATCTGGCGGCCTTCCGCTAAGCCGCGTCAATTCTGGCGTACGTGCAAGCCATCTGTCTCGGTTGTCTATCTCTCGACCAGAATCTCGCAGTACTAACAGTAGACAGCAAGGTCACCCGCCTGGCTTATACCTCGTCCCTTCGCATAAGCGTCTTGAAACCGTTTCTGCCTTGCAGATGCTTAATCTCGAAAACATAGCAGCGAACGAGATCGGCTTAACAGAACAACTCATGGCTGAGAACGGAGGACGAGGTATTGCTGAGGTTACTTTGATAGCCCTTTCAGATCCTGCTATCAAAGTGCGGTTCGGCCTTGCTGGTGCCAATCCCTCTTCCAGCGCTACATTGACGAGTCCGGTAGTAGTGATCCTGGCTGGAAATAACAAATCGGGTATCCGAGCTATTGCTGCTGCACGTCATCTGCGGAACAAAAACGTCAACATGCTCGTGTGCTTAGTGGGTATTGAACGCGAGAAAGACTTGCTCGAGGACCTGCGACAACAAATTCAACTTTATCGAGCTTTTGGCGGTAAAATCCTCAGCAAGGCAGATCTTTTCGAGCACTTGCGCAAAGCATCATCATCAGGATCACCTGTTTCAGTCTCACTCATCATCGATGCTCTTCTGGGCTTGACCATATCGTTTGAGGAACTGCGAACTGGTGACCAGGCTGCTGTGTACGAGTTGATGGAATGGGCGAATCGAAACGAAGCGTTTGTGCTGTCAGTTGATGTGCCAACAGGTATCGACCCGACGTCCGGTAAAGTGGCAGTGATAGATGGCAGCCGCTTATTCGTGAAGCCTCGATACGTTGTTGCAATGGGTGCTCCCAAGCGAGGCCTGCTTGAAGCCGTGACACCGCCAGATGAGGATGACCCTCAGAACATGAACAACGCCGGGCACGAAGAAGAATGGCGTCTATTTATCGCGGATATTGGCCTGGGAAGTGCCGTCTGGAGGAAGGCTGGAACCAAGATTCGAAGAGGCATCGACTTTGATGAGAAGTGGTTGCTCGAGATGAAGTATCGGGATGGACAGCAGGACGGAACCGAGTCTGATGAGGAATAGCACACCGCGTGAAGCCAGCGAGAACATCGATTCATAGGGATGAGGGAGAAGAAGCGAAAGAGAGCGAAAAGTTCAGCGATTGTTTTACTTATTGCATGGGAAACGGCAAATGGGAAGATGCATTTTCGACAATACTTGGCGTTTGGTGGGTTTTATTCTGGCGCTTAAGGAAGGGTGCATTATTACATTTGGGGTCAAAAGGGACCAAATACCCAGGAGTTGATTCAAAATAAGACGTTTTTAGTTTTTGATGCTTTGACTGCTGTTGCAATGTGAAGATATCCATATCTGCGGTTATTTATGTGTCGACAGAAGATTGATAGAAGAGCCAAGTTCGCCAAGAGTATGGAGAAGGTTGCACAGAGGCCAAGTTTAAGTTAAAGCTACGGGGAGAAAACTAAGCTTTGCCAAGCAATTTGTGATTTCCTTGTGCATCTGCAGGCTTGGCACTTTATAAAAGCTTGATTGGGTTTATGCCAATGCTGTTAAATGACGTGAGAAACTGTGACAGGGGAGGCCAACGAGCAGGTGTATCTTGAGTAACTGTGTATTTATGATTCAATCTACAGGTAATCAAGTACCTACACTTATATGGTGTGTGAAAATAGAGCAGATAGCGTAATTTTAGTTGTATAGATACATCAATCAATAGCTTGAGAATAGCGCTTCTGGTTTTGATTGACAGGGCAATAGTCGATTGATTGGCTCCTGTTGGAAAGACAACACGCGGTCGGAGAATTCCTAGAGCCTAGTCTCATTTTAAGTCTGTTTTTAAGTTTGGGCTCATCGGCTGAGCCGATAAGAAGCTGGTGATCATAGATGTTGAAGAGTGAAGACCATTCATTCAGCTGGTAAATCATTGTTGCCATGTGTCTTTGGTCAACTTCTTTCAGATATTTACAGCAACATTGCCTCTCTCTGGTCGTTGATTGGCCGTTTCATGTTCTTAAAGGATCACACTATCGAGAGTCAATCTTGATAATTTGTGGGAAGCCCGGGTGATCTTTTCCGTACTTATTCCCCAGAGTGCACAGTGTGGGTGGCTGAGTTTTTGTCATCTGCACTTGATGTGGGCAGACACTTCCAGTCCAGAACATCAAGGAACAAAACAATACCGGTTAATGGTTACAGTCATAGCCAGTCTCTGCTTGTTCAATGTCATATCAAATCTTTGTTTAATTTTTCTCATCCATACACAACAGAATATAAGCATATCTGATCTTGTCAGCACCCTGACTCCTTTGACATGAAGAGGGGTCACATTGGTTTAACCGTTGATTGAGAGAATTGGGGATCAGACGAAAAGGGATAGATCGAGCGCACATCAGGGTATTGATGCGTTTGGGGGCTGAAAGAGGGGTCTTTAATTCTATTCAATTCCACTAAGTCACAGGGCTGACTGTGCACCTACAGCATCTACCATCGAGTGTCATCAATTGAAAGAATTTATTGCCGTTGAACGGTCCGGAAGTTTGTGACTGCAGATAACCGATGAACCGGGAACGGTTCTGCAGATGATCCGTTACATGAACTTTAACCGGCGTACAATCTCATGATCGGTCAAGTGTCCTCCTCAAAGATGGTTTAAATGTTCTAGAATCACATCCAGGAGGTCATACATGCCACTGGCAGCCCTGGAGGTGTCGCCTAAACACTTATGGCTGCGACGACACACGACCGAGATCATATAGAAATGTGAACTGATAATAAAATCACTACAGAATCTAGGATTACCTCCATAGTTGCTACTCAAGATTAAGTTTAGATTATATAAACTCATTATACGATATAGATAAAGTCGAGATCTATATTACGTAGGTATTCATTTAACCCAAGACAACTGATTGCAGATATCTGCTTGTACAGTGCGTCGCTTATAGACGAAACATCCATAGCCCATGGAATGAACCGTCACTAAAATACTCAAAATAAACCAGGTTTCCCCAGTATTTTCCCTCTGTCTTACTGTTCCACAAGCAATCTAACATAATTTCTCAACCACGCGGCAAGACGAACGGACCAGGAGCTTGTTTCTCGCTGCCCAGAGACCACACTCAACCTTTTCTCCTTAGTTTCTTAGCATCTCTGAGGCTTCTTCGACCCCTTCGAGATCGCCCCCTAACGTTGCCCGATCCCCAAGACCGGTCTTCCTGCATACCATCCACGCGACAATCGACAGTGGGAAAAGGCCAAGATTTCTCGGCGCCCAGCGTCACAGCCTCTCTATTGTATTACGACCACGACTACAGACAGAGCAGACTCCCTGTGTCATTCTCAATTTCTTTGGCCTACACAGTATTTCTCATCTCCGTGAGATTCAGAACTCTCCAACTCCGCCTCCTTCCATAATCAGTCAAGGGCCCGCCGTAATCAATCACGCCCCCCGACACTACTTACCAGGAACTGGAGACCGGACCCAATCAATCCGCGTTTGAGTCCTCCTGTTCCTTTCCCCACGATCTCTCCCCCAAATCGCGCCCCGAACACACTCGTTTTCTCAATCGACAATCTCCAACAATTACCACATCTCGTCGAATTCATATCCAGATTCAGATCTCCGACAAACACGAGCTGCTGCCGGTCGAAACTACCGCGTCGCTTACTCTTCGAAACGTGCCTCTCATGGCGACCGCTTAAGCGACCCCCGATTCATAATCCTCGCCCCGACTGAACCTGCGAACCTCGTCGCTCGCGGCTGGCCGTACTGTTGCGTGTTGCCTCATAGGATAACCGGCCAGCCGCAATCATGGCTGCTGCCGCCGCCGTCGACATGGTCTCCGCGACCATCACGGCGCTACCTTCGTTGTGCACGACGACCCTCATGCCCGACAGTGGCGTTATGACACTGGGACTCGACGGCGTCCCTGTGCCATTGACCGAACCGGCTGTATATCAAGTCCCATGTCCGACTCCCGATCTCTTGCCTCGAGCCGAGTACTCCGTGACGGTTGCTGCTTCAGGCGACGAGAGCAGTCTCACTCGGCACGATCCATCAGATAGCAGCCCCAAATTCTCCGATTTCCGCGATCCCTTTTACGCCTCTACTTTTCCGATATGCTACGCCCTTGCCGCGACTACCGTCACCGCTTACATGCTCGTCATTATGCTTTTCGTCACGCCGCGGTCTTTTCTTGATGGAGGAATCGTTTACCTGGGCCGACGATCCGCTTTCACTCATAGTTCATCTAGCAGTGTCACGATTGGTGGCCGACCATGGCTACAGAAAGTCGCAGCTTTAACTGTCGCCATCTCGCTAACGATCGCCTCAGCCGACACCTTCCATGCTGCCAAAAGTCAGTACACGTGGGGGATCCAGAACGCGAATCAACTGCAGGACGAGGTGATGAATAGCGTGGAACTTAAAGTTATCAGGCTCGTCTCTGACACCTTTCTGTGGCTGGCTCAGGCCCAGACTTTAATCCGACTCTTTCCCCGACATCGAGAAAAGATAATTATCAAATGGGTCGCGTTCGCACTCATAACTCTCGATGTTGTCTTCAGTGCCATTACCAGTTTCAAATACTCGGAAAATGGCATCAACACCACCGCGCGACCCAAAAACTTCGTCCATCCTGTGCCCGCTCTCAGCTATCTGTTTCAACTCTCCCTCGGACTCTTGTACGCGGCCTGGGTTGTCTACTATGCTTTGATGAAGAAGCGTTACTCTTTCTACCACCCCTTCATGAAGAACATTAGCTTCGTCGCCATCATTTCACTTATTTCGATCCTAATTCCCGTTGTCTTTTTCATCCTTGATATCTCTCAGCCTGATTTCACTGGATGGGGAGACTACGTGCGATGGGTTGGTGCTGCAGCTGCCAGTGTCGTAGTATGGGAGTGGGTGGAAAGGATCGAGGCTCTGGAACGAGAGGAGAAAAAGGATGGCATACTTGGACGTGAAGTCTTTGATGGAGACGATACACTCGAAATCAACGCATCCGAGTTTCCATGGCTCCGCAATCGTAAGAACCGAAAAGGAGGCAGTTCAGGAAGTAGCGGCGACACCGATCGACAACAAATGTCTTCGTCTGCTGCCAATGGTTGGCCGACTGTTTCCTCCATTGCCAACAGATACCGTGGGCAGGGCAATGGTGCTTTTGCCGAAACTACGGAACAACCCACGCTAAGAGGCACAGGCAGAGGTTTGCGACCCAACATCTGGCCAGCTCGCCCAGCACCTGCCGTGACCCCTATTAGCCGAACAGATACCGCCAGCGCGGCCAGTACGGTTTATGCCGTGAGATATCAGGCACCCTCAGAGACCACATCGCGAACACCAGACCCTCTACCGCAACCGAGTGTGGTCGATCTGAGTCAACAGAGCAGCACTCCCCCAAGTCAACACATGCATGACGAGTCCAGTTCTTCAAATCAAGCTCCAGCCTCAGTACAAAATGGGCATGTTGTGTCATCGCCATCACAACAATCTGCCGATCTAGAAGCAAACTCGCCTGACTCGCCAGCTCACGGCGGTTGGCGAAGTCTTGCATTTGCCGGTCCGAGATCTGGTCACTCGGGTGAGGATGCGACAAGGGAGGTGACCCAGCAATCAGATAACAATCCAGTCGCGGAGCGCGAAGGAAGGACAAATAGTTCGAGCCGATGGGATTTGAGAGCTCGCCTAGAGGATTTTGCGGCCAATCAAGCAGAGAAATTACGGGACCGCATGCGCACAGCTCCCAATACCGAGAGTCTTCCTGTAACAGTTATTCCGGCACCTCCGCGAAGAGGAGCAGCGCTGCAGCAGGTGCTCGAGGAAGAAGAGCTCAACACAGCAGAGCAGGACTCGCCAAGTCGCGAACATTTTACATCACAAAACAGGAGCACGAATAGTCCTAGCAACGCATCGCGAGACGCAACAGGAGAAATTACACAACTGGACAGGAGTCGAAGCACGTTCTCAGGTAGTCAAGGCGATGGGCCGATCCCACCGAACAACCCACCACTATGGCGGGGCGTTCGGCCGAGAATGACTCCCGACGAAGATTACTATGATGATT